CATCCGTCCTCCTCCCTCCTCCCTCCTCCTTCCCTCCTCCCTCCTCCCTCCTCCCCTCTCTCGGGAGCGTCACAAGGAGGCCCTCCGAGGATAATTTCACGACAACAAGGGCGCCGACACGATGAACAGACACCACTTCGGGGCTCTGGGAACGGAGTCGAAGACGAAACCTCGAATAACTTAGTCTTCGATGTTCGGGGCATTTTTCTGACCACCTGCGAGCCTTGTGGAAACTTCCGAGAGCCTCAGGGGTTGACGTCTGGCGCAAGAACACGAGTGGAGGAGGAGACAACACGATGTTCCACGGAGTAAACTGCACCCAATTGGTTTCTACCCCCGTGAGGGGCGTTACAGGGTATTGTGGAACAGTTTCTGGAGATCTTAGCACGCCGATGGCCCTTTGGGCCGGCGAATTCATTTTTCTCCTTCTCTCTCTCGCCCTCCGTCTTCCTGCTGTCGAAGACGCTTTGCTGTCGGCGCCCGCCCCTTGTCCATCTTGTAGCGATTGAGGGCGATGCCAGATCAGGCCCAGCACGACCGCGAGACAGGCCATAATCGGGGGGCGAGGTCTGATGATCCAGGTTTTTTGTTTGGTGTGAGTCTTTGGACTTTTCGGTTTTCAGAGGCCTCTGGAGCCTAGACTGCCTCCCTACTTGCCTGAGATTTTAGCTGCCGTCGCAGAGAGCCCCATGAGGGTCCAAGGGGGCCCTCGAAGGATCGAAGCTCGATCCGCAGCCGTGAAGTGCGCCACGTGAGCCCTTGTGAGCGTCTCGGGGTCCAGCATCGAAGTGCTGCCTTTAAGTCGGGCGCGTCCCCCCACAGGGGGATTTTTGGACGAAAACTAAAACATATTCAACAAATCATCAAAGGATATTCAAACATCGGCAAACCTCGTCCCCATATTTTTTGACTACTTTTGAGTATTCCTCCCGTAGAGGGACACGCCCGACTTATGCTGGCCCGCAGGCAGGAAACATGAGCTCTTTATGACGAGAGTCAGCGGGCCGACGGCGGGCACGGACGCACCGCCTGGCGCGCGCGCACGGTGAAACGCGCGGAGCTTGCGAGGGGGGCAATGGGTGGGCCAAAGTTTTGGGCGATGCCTCGCGCGCCCCTCGGCCCCGCGTGCGAGTAGAATTCACAACGCCACGCGCTCCGCAGGCCGAACTTCGGGGAACGAATAATGGCATAATCATAAAAGCTCGGAGGTCCGCGCGGATTTCTCGGATCGGCGCTGGACCCCCCTCCCAGGCGCGCGGAGCGCGCCAGGGGCGGCGCCGGAGGTGTCGCCAGGGGGCCCAAGCGCCGCTCCGAGAAATCCGCGCGGACCTCCGAGTTTTTATGTTTATGTCATCGTTCGTTTCCCTAGAACTTCGGAAGGGGTTCGCGCGGCGGCGCCGCTGACGGCGTCGCGCGGAGGCGGGCCGACGTGCGTGCGGCGGCTGATCCGTGTGGAGCGTGAGCGCGCGTGCGGCTTTTCTGCGCTCGGCGACCGCCGCGCGTGCCCGCGGCGCGCGCGGTGTCCAGGGCGCGTTCTGCTGAGCGGGAGCGGCCCGGAACGATGGACAAATCTTTAGGTTCATGCTGGCCTCCTCCTCTTCTCCTCCTCCTCTTCCTTCTCCTCCTGTTCCTCCTTTTTCTCCCCCGCCTTCTCCTCCTCCTCATCCTCCTCCTCCTCATCCTCCTCCTCGTCCTCCTCGTCCTCCCCCTCCTCCTCCTCCTCCTCCTCCTCCTCGTCCTCCTCCTCCTATGCCTCATCCATCTCCATTTTTCCTAGTAACAAATTTCTCCCTGTCGCACCCCGAGGCCGGTTTTTAGGGCGGGCTGGGCGTTTCGCCTGCGAATTCCTCACCATTTATGACTCTGAAGCTTCAAAGTTGGCAACAGTTGCACATGTGGAGGGCGGGTCGTTTTCAAAATGCAGCTTTCGCCTTAGCGCGGCGCACATTCGTTTTACACATTTGCAAGAGTTTCGCGGATTGAGGGCGTTTTTTTTCACGGATTGAGGGCGGGTGGTTTTCAACATGTGGCTCTCGCTTTAGCGGGGCGCCCAGTCGTTTTATAAAGTTGGATGAGTTTCGCGGGTGGAGGGCGAGTGGTTTTCAAAGTGTGGCTCTCGCTTTAGCGCGGCGCACATTCGTGTTCAAAATATGCAAGAGCTTGACGGATTGAGGGCGGTTCCTTTCCAAAATATGGCTCTCGCCTGAGCGCCGCGCACATTCTTTTAAGAATTTCACGGATTCCCATCATCGACGTACCAGACATGGTGTTTTGGAAGGATCAGGGAATATGCGGGCGCAACAGTTTCGTTGATTCTCTGTGTTGAAATCCTAGGCGTTGCCTTCTGGCACGATCAAGACGCAGCAGTCAGGTTGATCCGTGGCGTTTGATTCCCGAGAACAATGTTCTGGCATGCTTCAGTGTCTTCAAACGGGTGTCTTCTAACGAGGCAGTTCCCTCAGTGGAAATGAACTGTTGTAGGGGCTTATGAAGAGGGAGCTTGGAGGGAGGGTTTACCCCAACATCGTTGATGACTCTTGGATTTCCACTGGTCCTCCTCCTCCTCCTCCTTTTCCTCCTCCCCCTCCTCCTCCTCCTCCTCCTCCTCCCCCTCCTCCTCCTTCTCCTCCTCCTCCTCCTCCTCCTCCCCTTCCTCGTTTGAGTCGGGCCTGTCCCTCTACAGGAGGAAGGGTCAAGAAAAGTCAGAATTAATCTGGAAACGACCTTTCCACCACTTTTGCATATTTTGGGTTTTTTGTTGATTTTTTTTACTTTTCCTTCAAGCTGTTTTGGGGGTATCCCTTAAGGCTTGATTTTGACCCTCGATGCGGTTATAGTTCGGGGAACGAACAGCGAAATAAACATAAAACTCGGAGGCCCGCGCGGATTTCTTGGATCGGCGCTGGACCTCCTTGGCGGCGCCTCTGGCGCGCTCCGCGCGCCAGGGAGGAGGGTCCGCGCGGACCTCCGAGTTTTATGTATGTTTATGTCATTGTTCGTCCCCCTTGCTTTGGGGTATCCCTAGGGCTTGATTTTGACCCTCGGTGCGGTCATTTGGAGCCCTCCTGGTACCAGGAATCCTGGCGGGCCCCTCTGGGGGGTACCTCTTTGCGGGTCCTTGGAGTTCCCCCGGGAACGTCTCGGCTCTTGTGATGGCAGTCTTGGGCTGGTTAGGCTTAAATCAGGCATGTCCCTCTAGAGGAGTATTCAACATGTAATATGGGGACGTTCTCTTGATTAGTTTTCAGTTTTTTTGGGGTATTTTTGGAGTATTGTTAATCTTTCGTCCAGAATCCGCGTGTAGGAGGACATGTCCGACCTCAGGTCAGAGGGCGTCTGTGCCAGACAGGGGAGGACGAGCGGCCGCTACAACAACGTAGCACGGAGGCTGGCGAGCTACAACATCTATGCCGTCCATGGCTTGTCTGTACCAAGCAGGCCTGCTCAGAACGAGCTTGCGCAGAGGCCGCCGCGCTAGCTCCAGTCCACCTTGCCGATGCTCATGTCGATCTCCACGCCGTCCAAGTAGTCGTCGGTCTCGGCATCGCTTTCTTCCAGCTCCTCGTCTCTGCCTCCCCAGTCGCCGGCCCGATGCCCTTGGCCGCACTCGCGGGGGCCAACGTCAGACGATGGGTGGCCAGCACCACCTTGCTGCGCCTGCATCGGTGCGCACGTGCGGGCCCAGGATGGCCGAGCCACGGGCGGGCCACCGCAGCAGCCTCGCGGGAGCACAGGCGGGCCGCCAAGCGGGCACGCGGAGCCCAGGGGCAGGCGCGACTGGGTGGGGGCGGGGGCGCAGGCCTTGAGCGAAGCGACCGAGCGAGGACGACGCCACCTGCTCGGAGCCCCCTCGGGGAGGCCTCCACGGGAGCGCCAGCTGGGGTAGAGCCTGATCTCAGTCCGCTGTGAGGGGCTCGCGAGGCCCAGACGGCCGAGGTGCGGCCGCCCCTGTCCGCCACCCTGCGCTCCCGGTGTGGCGGTGACGGCACCCGTGGCGCGGGCGCGCGTCCCCGCCGCCGCTCGCCGCTTGGCCGCCGGCACGGGCGGTGGCCGCTCGGCGGGTCTGCGGCTCCGGTCGTCGGCCGCGCCCGCGACGACGAGTGCCCCGCTGCTCACCGAGCGCGTTCCACTGCTCGCAGAGTGCCTGCTCGCAAGCGTCCGAGAAACACCTGCCTGCCTCGACGCCGCGGATCGCGAATCCCCCGTGGCGGATCCAGGCCATTTGCGAGCGGTTACTCTGCGAGTCGTGGAACGCGCTTGTCTAGTTGCGGCCGCGGAGGGCGTGGCTCGCGGGTCAGGTCCAACCCTCGCGTCTGTCGCAGCAGCAGGCTGCAGAGAGTGAGCTGGCGGTAGATCCCCGCCTCCCCGCTGTGCTTGCGAGCGTCCGTCGGCCTGGGCCGCCCGCGGTGTCCCCTCTAGCCGATGCCAAGGCCACCGTCGCCGGCGTTGGTGCTGCGTATGCCTCTTGACGCTTTCGCGCGTGCACTGGCGTCGCCTGTGAGCCGCCTCATTCGGAGCCGTTTTGCTTTGCGCCGTTGCATTCATCATATCCTTCATTACCTGGGTGTCGACCTCTCGCGCAGCGTTCATGCCAGATAGCAAGTGCTTCCCTGTAGGTACTGCGGCGCCTTCCTTCCATTGCGCACCTTTGTCTCGAGGCTTCACCGTTGTGATCGGGAGCCTGCTATTCCTGTCATGCTGTCTGTCCCCGCGACACTGCACAAATCACTCCTACTTGCGAGGGATGCTGAATTAATCGCTTGTCCAGAAAATGAAACACAGCCCCAGTCCCAAGGAGCAGCAACGCCATAGCAGGTACTATGGTGTTTCGGCATCAGGCCGTTGTGGCAGTTTGACTTCTCTTCCTCCTCTTCCCCCTCCTCCTCTTTCTCCTCCTCCTCCCCTCCTCTCCCTACTCCTCGCCCTCTTGCTGCAGCTGCGCTCCTCCGTCTTTTCGTCCCTTCCCCCCCAACTCCTGCTCTTTTCAGCCATGCCCATAGGTCGATGCCACCGAGTTCTGCAGCGTCCTGCGGCAGTGCATGCGCAAGGGCGTGGCGCCGCCACAGGCCAGGCTCAGATCAACCCCATCCCCAGGTGATCCGCCCCTTACGGCCCTGATCCCCAGACAGAGGAATTCATTCGGAAATTTTCGGCCCGTTTTGCGCTTCCAGAGACCTCCATGGGTCTTCAGGGACTGCTGAAGACATCTGGGGGCTCCCCGTGGGGAGGGGGCCGTTCACCCGAAGGCGGCCAGCTGTGGAGCTTTTTCCCCCCTGCAGCCCCTGGGACCGCGCAGACCCTGCGGCTCTCAGGCCCCCCCCGGCCCCGCGGCCCCGCAACCTGACAAACCCGCAACCCCGCGACCCTCAGACTTCACAGCCCCACAGTTCCACAATCTCTCGGCCCGAGGGACCACGCAACCTCGCGACCCTCAGGCCCTCAGACCCCTGCGGGCCCGCACCCCGGCGGCCCTCAGACCCTGCAGCCCCGCTACCACCCTGCCGAACACAGTAAACCGCCTGTCCAGTCGGCGCCCCCAGGAAATCTCGAGCGGAGGTGGAGAAGAACCAGAGGAGAAGGAGGAGAAGGCGGAGGAGAAGGAGGAGGCGGAGGAGGAGGAGGAGGAGGAGGAGGAAGAGGAGGAGGAGGAGGAGGAGGAGGAAGAGGAGGAGGAGGAGGAGGAGGACCACGCAAAAGGTATGTGTCCAGTGCCAGTGTGTGACTTGCTGGCATTCTCTCGCTGCCCCCGCCCAGGGCGCCTCGGGCGGGCCGGCCCCTTCGTTCAGATCCGCGGCCCTGGGCGCCTTCCGCCAGCCCCCCCCTGGGAGAGGAGCAGTCAGGGGTAACGTTAGGGGGGACAGGCTCAGGCGCGATCTATCGACCCCCAATCGCCAATTGATCGCCGATAGGCGCCTGATAGCCCACCCCGCCCAAGACCATGCGTATTTGTAGTCGGGGGCCTATCGCCGATCAATCGGCGGTATATCGCGGATTCCAGGTCGATGTTGCCCCCCTGAGCCAGCCCCCTTTACCGGTGCCCCTCATGGACGGGCGGTGGTGGAGTCTGGATTTCCAACGTCTTGCGTTGAGGTTTTGTGCAATTGCGGGTCTGTGGAGCTAGTTTTCGGGCCCCGGCACCAATCACTGGTTCTCGGAAGGGGTCGAGAGTTCCTGGGCTCGCGCATCGAAACAAACAAGGCCTCGGGGGGTCTGGGGAGTCCTTCCCTCCTGCTCTTCTTTCTCCTGTCATTCTTCCTCTCATGCGTTCGTTCTCTTTAGGGGAACGAAGAATGACATAAACATAAACTCAGAGGTCAGCCCGGATTTCTCGGATCGGCGCTGGACCCCCCTCCGTGGCGTGCGGAGCGCGCCAGGCGCGGCGCCGGAGGCGCCGCCAGAGGGCCCCAACGCCGATCCCAGAGTTCCGCGCGGACCTCCGAGTTTACATGTTTATGTCATTGTTCGTTCCCCTAGTACTATCCCTAATGCGAAGACGGGGTCCTCAGTGAGGCCACGTCTTCACCGTGTTGTTTGGATTCGGGGTTATGTTGTGCTCGATGACGGGAGTTTCTTTATGTTTATGTACTTGTTCGTTTCCCTAATTCTTCCTCTCATGCGTTCTCTTCCTCCTTCGTCTTCCTCCCTGTTCTTGTTTCCTGCTCCCACTTCCACCTTCTGCCTCTGCTCCCGCTTCCGCTTCGGCCTCTGCATCCACGTGGGCGGGTTTGCAGTGGAGACTCATGCCGAGAATCACCCTGCTTGCCTCCAGGGGGCCCTGGGCTTGTTGGGTTTCCATGGTTTTGCTATGGACAGCGTGACGCTGCCATACCAGCAAAAATCAATGAACGTCCTGGGGTCTGAGGGTTGGGCTTCCCGTCGAAGGTTTCTTGTGGTCGAGCTCCTGCTGCAGTTGGCGACGCTTCTAGACTTAGTCCACCCAGCCGCTCCCTGCAGCCATGGCCTTCATGCAGCTCGAAGCACTGGCCAGGACAGCGTCTAGGAGGGGGTCTGGATTGCTTTGAGAGCAGTGATTTCTCTCCGCATGGCAGGCTCGATAGAAATCGAATAAGAATAACACAACGCCATAAACATAAGACTTTTGGCGCTCCTCGCGAATTTCTTGGATCCCCGCGTGCTCCGCGCGCCAGGGAGGAGGGTCCAGCGCAGATCCGAGAAATCCGCGCGGTCCGCCAAAAGTTTATGCTTATGCCGTTTTCCTTCCTCTAAGGAATGATGCGGAGAAGGGGGGGGAAGGAAGAAAGGAGCCACGGGGCAGGCGTCTTTGGCGGCGGACAAGTTTATTTCATACCGTCTTTCGTTTGCCAATATGCGATAACTCCCGAGACAGGACACGATCGAAGAATGTGCGGGATAACTCCCGAGGCCTTCCGAGAATTTCCAAGAGGTGCCAGAAACGGCCCCAGGAATTTTCCTGGAGCCTCCAGGCGAACGAACACGCGTCGAAAACCAGACTTTTTTACAGCGTTCGTAGCGCTGTTGCTCACCTGGGCGCACGCGTCTGTGTGGCGGCATCCTGGATCAGAGACGCGAAACCCGTGAGACACACCGCGGTTATCCCAAACACGACTTGGGGGAGCAGCGCCTCGGGGCCACCCGTCGCATCGACGAGGGGCCCCCGGCGGCCCTCAGTCCCCACGGTCCCGCGGCTAACGAAGACGGCCGTAAGGAGGGGTGCCAACGCACCTCCACAACTCAGACCTTCAAGACCTGAAGGCGCCAATTGGGGCGTTCCAAAAGGGTTTCGCCCGCGAGGATCGAAGGAGTTGTCATCTCTTCCGCGGCGGAGGCCGCGGAAGGGCGGCGGAAGGTCGGCGGAAGTAAGACGAGGCCGCCTCCGCCGCGGAAGCCCGCGGACGCCAGGGGAAGCTCGGCGGCAGGCGAGAGATGAAAACAATTTTGGGCCCAAGGTTTCCGAAATCGCCCACTTGCCACCAGTCACTGTCTTCCTCCCCCCTCCCAGCCGCGCACCGCGGCCCTGGGGGGCCCGGGTGCGAGGCGCGAAATGGCCCTCAAGCCACGGTCCGAGCCCGTGGGGGGGGAGGACGCCGGCGGCCCCGCTTCGCTCCCCTCGTGGCCGAGAGGAGCGGCAGCACCTCTCGGGCGGTGCGCACTGTGCACCCGCGCGCCGGTCCTGGCCAGGCCCTTCCTGGGCCCAGGATCGGTGCACATGCCTCCGCGGGTGAGCCAGGAGCGCTGGCCCCCGCCACGGGCGCTGCCCCGCCGCCGCCTCCCACTCTAAGCGGGCCCGGCCTCCGTCTTCCTCCTGCCCGCGCCGGGCGTCCTCCTCCCTCTCCCGCATTCTGTGTGCCCCACTAAGTGTTAAATCGCCAGCGCAGTGACTCTGCCTAGCCGCCGACGCAAAAGTGCATAATGACGCCTCTTCCCTTCGGCACCGCGGGGCGGAGCCTCCGAGGACTTCCCGCCGCCTCGCCCCCCCTGGGGGCCGGCGGGCAGCGGAGCTACCGGCACCCGGTGGGCGGCGTGAAGCGCTTCCCGCCAGCTGCGCCCGAGGGCGGCGAGAGCGCGGAGGACCGCACCCCCGGCCGGGGCGACGCTCGCACCAGGGGGTGTCGAGGAGGAGGAGGAGGAGGATGAGGAGGAGGAGGAGGAGGAGGAGGAAGAGGAGGAGGAGGAGGAGGAGGAGGAGGAGGAGGAGGACCAGTGTAAACCCATGACTCATCAACGATATTGCAAAAATACGTCCTTCCAAGTTCCCTCTTTCAAGGCTACGTTTGAAGACAACCGTGTGAAGACCCGTTTGAAGACAACCGTGTGAAGATCCGGGATTGTGCCAGACTAACATTCCTTTGCACTTCAACGCCGTGAATCTTAGTTACTGCTGCTTCTTGACGATTCTGGAGCACCAGAACGCCATTCCTGGTACTTCAGCACCGCGAATCAACGTGACTGTTGCGCCCTGGCATTCCGACATTGTGCCAAAGCATGACTGGAGCGTTAGTCATGATAATCTTTGAAACGGTTGCAAGCCCTTAAGACGATTGTGCGCGGCGCTAATGCGAGAACCGCATGTTGAAAATATGCAGCCCCGCAGTCGTGAAACTCTTTAAGACGAATGTGCGTGGCGCCGATCGGTCGACCCTAGCCGGCAGGTCCTTTCAACGTCCGTGGAGGCCCCGAGCGCTCGGCATCAGCGTGCAGTCGCCCTCTTCCCCTCTTGTCCTCCGTCCTCTATTAATTTCTCGCCCGTGCGTCGGCCAAAAACGGCTGGTATTTCAAGCTACCTTTGGGGGCGAAAAGGTGGCTTGAAATACATTGGTGTTTTGTGCGCTTTGCTTCTCGTTCCCTGGCCGTTGTGCCGATCGGTCGATCCTCGCCAGCAGGTCCTGTCCTCCTGCACCTGTCGTGCCGCGGGTCATTTCTCCTCCTCGTCCGTCCCTCCCGCGACCTGCTGGTGCTTTTGCGATTCCCCCCCACCTTGCTCCTCTCCCAGCACGGAATGAACTAGCGGCCCCCGACGTCGGCTCCGCGGTGCACGAATCGGTGGTCTGCGAGGCGCCGCCGCGCCGTGCCTGCGGCTAGGCGGGACGTGGGGACTCCTCTCTTACGCTCGTCTCCTCCTCCTTCTCCTCCTCCTCCTCCTCCTCCTCCTCCTCCTCCTCCACCTCTTCCTACCTAACTACCCGCCCACCTACCTGCCTGCCTGCCTGCCTGCCTGCCTGCCTGCCTGCCTGTCTACTACGTGCCTACCTACCAGCAGCCCTCCCTCTCCCTCGAGGTCCGCGGCCGCCCTCCTCTCTTTCCGCCCTCTCCGGTGTGTCCAGTGTCCAGCCCCGGCCCGTCGGCTCTGCAAGCGCGCTTTTGCGACCGCCAGCGCTGCCGACAAAAAAGGAGAGCGGGTCGGCGTGCCCGTTGGCGTCCTGGGAGCTCTTCGATTCCTGTTTTGTCGGCATCACCCCAACATACTAAGACCATGTGAGCGTCGCCCCTCCTTGGGGCGACGCGCGCGCCGAGAAATCTTATTGCATATGAGTCGTGGCGGGCGCTCTCTGGCGACGCCGCTCAAGAAACGATGTGCTGCAATATGGGTGTGCTATATGTTCGGGTCGGACGCGCGCCTCCAAGGAGGACATATAGTATTGGCATGTTCCTGTGCACCCCATCTCTGGTGGCGTCCTTTCCCGCGCCACGGCCGCTCGGAGGCGGCTGTGCCCCCCCCCAGAGAGGGGCCGCCTCTGCCTGCCTCAGGCCGCGGGCGCGGACCCGGGTGCGGAGGACGCCGCCAAGTGGGAGGCGCTATCCCCCCCTCCCGCGGGGGAGGGAGACCCTGAAGACCCTGGAGACGGGACGGGGTGGGCACGAGTGGGCATCACAGCCAGCTCAAGTTTCTCACTGGCATTCGCTTCGTGCGTAGCAGCATGCTTTCCTCTCGCGCCGTGGAAACAATCGCGGCGGGAGATTTTTGACAATTGTCGGCCCTTGTGGGCCCTCGTCCGGCACCCGGGCCGCCCAAAAACGACTCAGGATGGAACGCCAGTCCCGGGAAAGGGTCTAGATCTCCATGCGTCCACGTTGCGACAAAAATCACGACGTCGGAGTTCTGGGTCGGAAGGGTCGAGGGGCGGGGCAGGAGGAGGGAAGACTCAGGATCGAGGTTCCCAGGCGTCCTTCTTTCCCCCACTCCGGCTCCTCGTTCCCCCCTCCTCCCTCGCGTCTCCTCTCCCGTCCTGCCCCCGTCCCTCCTCGCTTCCTCCTTTCTTGCTCTTTCTCCTCGCGTCTCGCCTCCTCGGGCGCTGCCAGGTGCTCGTGAGCTCGATGGGGGCCCAGCGTAGTGCGGCCCTACTCAGATCCATACGGTACCTCGCTTCCATGGGCGCTGCTAGCTGCACTCTATCGCCAGTTCGTGAACTCATGGGGGGCCCAGCGGAGTACGTATCTGACCGGTTTCAAGGAGGACCTCGGCTCACTGGACGCTGCCAACTCCGCAATCGTTGACATTTTCGTGGGCTCCTGGGAGGTCGCTTCTTGCATTTTTTTTATTATAACAAGTGTCTTGCCATCTGGGGAGATACTACCTATGAGCAGCGTTGGCCTAGTCTTATCTACTGGGAGTACTTGGTACTAAGGTTAGTGCCTACCACGAGGACCTGGCAGGCGCCTACTCTTCATGCCATTATCTTCTCGGCGTTGTTGTTTTCATCATTTCATATTCTGCGTCGCCCGCCAGGTGCATCTTTTACCCGGGTCGTGCTATATCTTCTTCATTCAAATCGCCACAATCGTAGGAGGAGGAGGCGGACGAGGAGGAGGAGGAGGAGGAGGAGGAGGGAGGAGGAGGAGGAGGAGGAGGAGGAGGAGGAGGAGGAGGAGGAGGGGAGGAGGAGGAGGAGGAGGAGGAGGAGGAGGAGGAGGAGGAGGAGGAGGAGGAGGATGAACACTTATACAGATACGAATGGTAATACTAATACTATTAATAATAAGAAGAATCACACGAGGAGGAGAAGGAGGAGGAGGATGATGATGATGATGAGGAGGAGGAGGAGGAAGAAGAGGGGGAGATGGACACGGGAGGAGGAGGAGGAGGGAGGAGGAGGGAGGAGGAGGAGGAGAGGAGGGGGGAGGAGGAGGGAGGAGAGGAGGGAGGGAGAGGAGGAGGAGGAGGAGGAGGAGGAGGAGGAGGAGGAAGGAGGAGGAGGAGGAGGAGGAGGAGGAGGAGGAGGAGGCGGAGGAGGAGGAGGAGGAGGAGGAGGAGGAGGAGAAGGAGGAAGGCGGATGGAGGATGAGAGGAGGTTCCTGCGGTTCGGTCGCCGCTCCAATGTTTTTGGTGCGTGTGTCCCCAGAGTCTCGATCCCTTTCCCAGGGCCAGTTTTTCGTCCCGAGTCGTTTCTCTATGGTCCCGCAGCTCGACTCGGCCTCCAGAAGGCACGAAGTGCGGAGGCGCCGGATGTCTGGGTCCTGTCAGGCAGACCTCGGATGAGGACAGATCGTTCCAGAACGTGTCACGCTCTGGAACGGCCGCGGATACTTGGTACGTCTCGTCGTACAGAGCCACTGGATCTCAGACCCATCTATTCTCATCTGGATTCATCCTCGTCCTGTCTTCGTCTCATCCTGCTCCTCGTCCTGGTCCTCCTGCCCCCTCCGGGCCCTGGGCAGCTCCTCGGGCCGACAACATGAGTAGCTCTTCGGGAGATCTGCCGCGGGCCCCTGGTTGGCACCCCGCGCCCGCTGGCGAGCGAATTTGCCCCAGGCATTGGGCTTAAGGGAGGATTGGAGGAGGAGGAGGAGGAGGAGGAGGAGGAGGAGGAGGAGGAGGAGGAGGAGGAGGAGGAGGAGGAAGAGGCGGAGGAGGAGGAGGCGGAGGAGGAGGAGGAGAAGGAGGAGTAACACACATGCTATCCTGGAGGGTAACTGGGCTAATGCGCCTCGCAGCGCGCCCGTCGCCCAGCCATGGGCCGCCTCCGGGCGATGGCGGTTCGCATTCGCATTCGCATTCGCATTCGCATTCGCATTCGCATTCGCATTCGCATTCGACGATTCACATGACGTGGCCACCCAACAAAGACGACGACAATACGAAGGAACGCAAATACATGATTGCCTCACTATGCCGCCAATCAACCGAGCAGTACATCGACGGCGGCAGCGAGACAGTACCACCGCTACTACGCACCCGCAGCAGGAACAACAGGCCAGTCTTACTACGTACCGCCAAGCCATCTGCATACGACCCTGACTGCGCTCAATCATTAAGAGCACACGTGGAACCAGACAAGCATGACTTGGTCACCGAGGACGACACCGATAAACACTACGTGTACATCTCACTACGCTTTGGCCGCGAATGACCTGCTGTACCGGCCAGCAAGGGATGGGCCAAAGCCAGAACGGAGACACGCATTACGATTACATACTTCCCAGGTATCCCCAACGATCGACTCACATCGGCCCTCACTGGCTGGAAGTACCTCTGCTCGCACCACGACGTCGAGCTCCACTGGTCGCAGCGGCCGATGGACATTCCCTACTACAGCAAAGCCGACTACAGGCCCGACAACCAGCCATTCATCGATGACGAAGAACCGCCAAGGTACTTACGAAATGTTCCACTCATATGCAGCACCTGGCAGCAGTTCAGCGACGACACCGACCACAACAGAGTACGACTCAAGGACGCGTGCGTCAACGAGGGCGGCATTGAGAAGAACCTCGAGGATACATGATACAACATAGACTACCAGCAGAGCACAAGCATATACGACTTCCAGATGGGGGAGGACTGCGGTATCCACGCGAACATCAAGTGCGTCGAAAAATGATTACGAGAGGTGCACGTTCATCTGCACTATGACTTTTGCAAACCACAGCGTGGCTTCGGGGTCGGAGCTGCTCTCGCTCACCAGTTACCTAGCAGACGCGCTCTACGCATCAGGTGCTTCGACCCTCCACCCACCATGGGCAACATGCGTACTCGGAAAAGAAACCGACGGTACATCGCCCCACCTGCCACATAGCAGCAGCCCAACTACGTAGAACTCGAAGACGCCACATCATACGGGTGCGTTTTTTCAAAGAGGGCGCAGCGCGCTTCAAGCCCGATTACCACGTGGGACCTACACCACCGACGCACTGCGAGTTCAATGCGCCCACCAGAGGCAACCTCAAATGGCCCCAGACTCTTTGCAGCCTCGGGCGCACGCCCATCGCGGAGCTCCACCCAAGCAAGTACATTATACATGACGACAGCAACCCGACACGCATCACGACCGAACCCTCCAGCGCCCTACCGCGCCCTCGAGGGCCCCAGTGCACGTGCGAACCTCCCATGTGCATGCAGACAGGAGACTGGTTCCGATTCCGTGCCGGCTTACCTTATGGCGACGAGCGCTGCGAGTTTGTGCAGCAACAGCTCTCTGAACGACGCGAAATCGAAGAACGCCAATGCGACCGCCTGGAAAAAGAGCGCCACAAGCGCAACGGCCAAATGAAATTGTCACCGCCAGAGCAGACTGGCCCACATCTCACTTTTAAGAAAAAGAAGGCCAAGCATGACATGAGAAGGCACGACGCAAGCCGCGACAACATCCCACCAGAGCCAGCAACGACGCCGACGCCACGGACTCAGACCAGACAGGACGAACCGCCAGACCATTGGCAAGACTACCCCGGCCTGCGACAACGACGACAGGCGCGATGGGCCAAGGTGAGCGGGGCAGCCGGCTTTGGCGAAGTTTGCCCTCGCCGCTCAAACCTAACAGATGCCGCGACATGCGCCTTCCCAGCTGCTGGACTACCTGCTGTCACTGCGCCAGCGACGCAGATGAGCAGATGAGGGAGGTCAAGAAGAATACCGATGGCACCGCGCAGTATACTACCGCGTAGCAACCAACACATGCACCCTCATATTCTCAAGCGACGACCTACTGCTACCTGGCTGGCACAGATACCTCAACAAGTGCAACGACGAGATTTTTCTCCACAAGGGCGGCAATCAATGCCTGCCGCGCCCGCCGCTCAGACCCGACTCCTATGCCGCGCCGCTATCGATTTCCACGCAACCAGTGACAACAAACACACAACGACTCAAGCTGAAAGAAGCCATCCAAGCAGGTGCGCGCCAGCCAATGCACGAGCCGCCCAAGAACCCTATCTTCGCAGGATGCGGCGACGCTTACAGGCATTCGCGGCAATCTGCCGTGGCGGCCTAACACTTAGATTTCAAGTCGCCACGACGTGCAAGCATTTCATCGCGCTGATCGCAGGAGGACAAGCGCCGCTCGACAGCTCCAAGATCAACTCCATGCAGGAAGTTGCCCAATGGCTCAACGCGTGCCACGACGAGCACGACGTCATAAAGTACGACTTGGCCAGTATGCGCGTGCGACGCGGCACACCTACTACAACGCATGTGCAACCCGATGGGCCCAGGGAGACACGTCGCCAACGAGCGCGACGACAGCGGCAGCTTGACCGACGGGGGGACCAACTCCAACGCCCTTCGACAGGCGCAGCAACTTCCAACCAAACCACCACCGCCATCATCGCAGCCCAGCAGACCCGAACCATTCGCGCCCGCGCTGCAGCCATCATAGGGCGCGCCCGACACTCCAACGAACCCGGCCAGCACAACCGACGCCGCGCGCAACGTCGCAGCAGAGCTCCAACCTGCGGAGCAGCCCGACAGGCCCAGTGGACCGACGCCACCAGGAACCGCAAAGCAGATCACCATGCACTCCCACGCGCAACCACAACAACACACGACCCAAAGCAAACCCATGCCGAATCTACACGGC